TTGTTGCCCATAAAGTGGTTTGAATTCAGCCAATGGCAGTTACTGTCCAGGCGAGCTCAGCAATAGTTCCCAGTGTGACCCTACCCAGCAGTTCCTGCTACACCAGCGAACTCTGATTCACTTGTGATCATTCTCCACTCAACTGGTTTCTCCTTCCCCAGCTGATGGAGATAAAACGCAATTGGCCTCTAGGTCGCCTCGGCCTCTCCTTGTCCTGCCCCAGCCACGTCTCCACGAGCTCTTTGCAGATGGATCCACGCGTTGCCCTGCTGAGGGGTGGGGGACCCCGTGTCTCTTGTGTCGCTACCCCAGCTCTCTCGGTCTTGGATTCGGGGTAAAAGCATCCAGGAGACTCTCCCTGCAGGCCTCTGTATCAGCCTCGTCACTGGGGCCAGGCTGTGGGGATGGGGCACAGTGACCGTGCCAGGGTCTGTGTCTTCTGGCCTGTCTCCTCCTGCCAACAGAGCCCAGCTACCCCAAACCCAACATCTCCCTGCACCCCAGCAGGGGGGTCACCCTCTGTGAGTGTCAGTATCCGGGAGCAGGGTTCATTTTGAGTAAAGCTGGAGACCTGAACACACAGCGCACCACGGACCCCGTGGGGATGTGGCTGATTTCCCCATCCGCAACATGAGCAGGGCACATCTCTGTATCCTGTGTTTGTACAGCTCCAAGCACACGGTGGAGCTGACCCACGACTGGGACACCTGGTAATTAATATGAGTCAGTAATGATTTTGGTTCTGGTTTCCGTGGAGCCAGGCAGGGGCTGTATCTGCGCACAGGGTCTCGCTGGGTCGATCCTCCCCGTTCTGGGATCCCGGGGGCGCTGAGCTGGCCCGAATCCCTGGGTCCAGTCCTCTCCCCAGGGACTGCCGGCTCAGCTCGGGGATAGCCACCATTGCCGACTGGGGGTGGGGGCGCCCTGTATAACTAACCACAGACACCAGAGTTTTCTCAGCCCCACGCCACACCCCTGACAGACACTGGTTTTATTCCCGCAGGGGGAACTGACCAAACTCAGCCGGGAACGACACCAGCTCCCACGCGTCCAGGCACCGCGGGGCCAGATACCAGGGCTGGGGGCAGGAAATCACCATCAACCCCCCTAGAAACAGGTTTGTGCTGCCCAAGGAGCTGCCTCCGGTGGGAATCATGAAGGGCTGACTGGGTGGGATGAGGGCGGATTCCAACAGTGAATGTCCCATCTTTAAACACCCCGTCAGACTCATTTCACATGCCGGGGTGGGGCACTGGAAAGATGCTAGATTGCCTGGTGGGGGCAGGGCCCGAGAGAGCTTCTCGCCACTGCACAGCCCCACCCCAGGGCCCAATAAACCGGGGTTCTATGCTGCCCACTGGCATCACAAAGCCACCAATTCGACGTGACAGTTAACTCTGAATATTAATGATGGCCATTGCTACACCACCCGGGGCCTGACAACAGATCTCTCTCTGCCAGGATCTCACCACCCCCAGGAATTTCTCCCCATTGACCACCACCTTCCACTCCCACTGGGGGTCCGAGGGGCCTGGGCCCAGGAGAGGACACACAGACATATATGCTGGGGGCAGTAGTGGGAGCCAGTCTGCCACCCCGCCCATCTGGCTAAACACCTCTATGGTCTTGGGACCCAGAAACAGAGCTAGAAGTCAGAGCCTTTCCACAGGGTCAGCCTGGTTCCAATTGCCAGCCTTCCCAAAGGCTGCGAGACAGGCATCTATATCTCCCCACCTTAACCTGGGGCAGCAATTTAGTGTCGAGGTTCCCTGTGGAATTGGCACCCCAGGGTCCATCCCCGCTCACCCCTGCACGTGTCCCTCTGCCTCTCAGCTCCGCCATCGCCAGCTCATCTCCTGCTGTTCTGCCTCCTGCCTTCCCTGTCTCTTCTGGTCCTCTGACTCCTTCAATCTCTGCTCCAATTCCATCCATCTCAGATCCACTCACGGGGAGCCGGGTGGAGACCCCCTGCTGGTCAGGGATACAGGTCTCGGGGATGCCTGGCTGCTCCCAGTCTCTCTCACTGACTCAGCTGGGCCAGGAACGGGTGCGGGCCCTGGGGCTGCCTGGCTGCTCCCAGCCTCTCTCGCAGCCCCAGCTGGGTCAGGAACTGGCTCCTTAGAGCGATCGTCCTCTTCCAACTGAGCAATCTGCTGTGCCTTGGTGAGCTTTCCAACGCGCAGCCGTCTCTCTGCACAGCTCTGCAATGTCCCTTCTTCCGGAGATGGTTACAGGCCATCTCCACACTGTTCCCAAGTGGTCACGGACTCACAGGCCTGTGCTTTCTTCCCACTGTCCCTGGGGGGGAACCCCCTTCAGTGCCACAGCCCATCTTGGGTGTCACAATCTCTGGTGAGGGCAGGGCCTGGGAGAGCTTCCCCTAAACCTACAGCCCCATCCCAGGGGTCCCAAAGACCAGGGTGCTGTGCTGCCCACTGGCAGAACAAAGCCACCCATG